CATTAACGTCATTTCCTTCGGGATTAATAACGTATTCTGATTCTGATTTAACGAGATTAACGCTGACAGCACTAAATATAATACGATGAAAGGGTAAGCAGAGTAATTTTATTTTAGAAACACTTTTGCTAACAACAATTCTGTGATTTCAGGGTTCATTTCACTTGTATTTAAAGTACTGAGTGAAAGTGAAAAAGAAGACAAAATGGAAAAGGCTATTGTGCCACAGCGTATTATACACATGTTGTGTAGTTGGGCCATTTGCAGGCAGAGAAGTGATTAAAAAAACTAGACTGGCTTGCAAAGGGTTTTCATTTTTGTGCTTGTGCATCAAAGTGCTGCTGTGTTTGCTTAGCAGCCACCAAGCAGAGTTCACTTGTGGTGTAAGTAAACATGTGAGCAGGAGTTCTGGAGCAGCAGATATCATTAGAGCTACAAAACACGCAGACGGTTTCCAAGATGGCAATATCAGCTTACAGCTTGTTCTCATTACAGGGCTTCTCTTACAGATCTGCCACGAGCTTACGGGGTAAACATGTTTACTGCATGTTTATTTCTCAGAGGCCTCCTGGCAGCCTATTTCAGGGTAAAACAAAACACCCTTGTGTGATTTGTTTTGATAAGATGTGTTATGTTTTAGCTCTGAAGGGAAATAGCAGATAAATTAATTTCCTTTTGACGGACGGCCTCGTACACTTACCAAATCCACCTAATTAATCAGTTCATGTTTTTTCCCTTATTGCACCTGTTAACCTGTGCTCAGCATATTGGTGGGAAGCCTTCATTAATGTCTTTCCTGTGAGCAGACAGCGAAAACAGTGATTTAGAGATTCACATGCTCAGACATCAATAAGTGCACTCTCAGGGGGGAAATGCCTTACGCGCTACATTTAGAAAAGCCATTTCCTTCCTTGGCTAAGAGCCAAGAAGCCCTTATCGGTGATTAAAGTTCCAGCCTTTTAGAGACCCAACAAGCTTTATGGGCAAATCATGGGCAGGAAAACAGTTTATTCATGCCAAAAAGCAACAATATAACCTCCTAAGAGAGGAAATGCTGTTTTATCAACGGCAAATGTCCTGATTTCTAAGTAATATCCCCTGTGGTGCTCTAGTAGCAAAGAGGAAAAACACTTGTTGACCCCTACATAGACCACTCAATTCCTAGAAGTAGTACCTCCCACAGCTGGTGCTTCAGTATAGCTGGAAAGTGAGAGGAGTTATTTTTGGCTATGTGTGCTCTCAAAAGAAATGTACTATTTGTTCCAATGCTGTAGCTTGACCCAGATGATCATATAAGGGGCCAAATGGAACAAGGAAGGAGGAAAGAAAGAGCATAAACACCCCTTAAGATGTGACAGAGCTATTGTAAAAGTTTTGTTACCTTAGGTGAAAAAAACAAAACAACCTTGAAACTTGAAACAGATAATGTTGACTTTTATTGTGAAACAAGAACAAAACTGTTAAAGCCGACTGATTGTTCACTATTTTTTAACTCTTTAAAATCCTCTAAATTTTTCCTCTGCTTTCATCATCATTACTTTGAAAGCCAGTTACATTTCTTAATTATTTCATTTATGTTTAACCGTTTCATTTTCAAAATGCTAGCGGAAATGCCAGATTGAGTGTGGTATTTTATGCCTCACTGGTTGCCTCAGATGTTACAGCCCTTTCTCATCTCCAGGGCATCAACTAGTGCCCCTTTGTCAAAACTACTGATATGGCAGATGAAAAAAGGCACAAGTTGTCCTTTTGCATCTTGCCCTGATGCACCATGTTAAGGATTAATTGAGCCCAATTGGTCCCTCCCAACTCATTATTTCACAACAAACAGGGCCATTGTTGTGAAAGGGTGTGTTTAAATCCAAACCAGTCCTCTCCTAATCCTATCCATGGAGATTTTACCTAAACTCAGCAGTCGTTTTCAGTGCCAAATCTAACCAGTGAGTGGAATTAAAAGTAAAAAAAAACTAAAAAAAACCCAATTTCATTAAAAGTTTAATAAACTATCATCTTGTCTTACAGCTTAAAAACTTCAAGCTGTAAGCTAATGATAGTTATATAAGAGCAGACGCATGCTGCTGCAATAAGCTGTACGCTTTACGTCCAGTGGATGCATGATCTGATTAGGCGACTAATCGCAAAAATAATCTGTGACTAGTCAACTATCAAAATAATTGTTTGTGGCAGCCCTAATTCATACAAGCACTTTTTCTACACCTAAGGCCTTTTACACACAGTCATACTCCAATGAACACATCGAAGAGCAACTTGGGGTTCAGTATCTAGGCCAAAGGGTACTTAGGCATGCAGTCTGGAGACTGGAGCAGCCAGCGATTGAACTGATTGGTAGATGACCCGCCTTCAAAACTATTTATCACGATATACATTTCAAAATTTGCGATAACGATATAACTGACAATATAATTGACACTAGACAAAATACTTTGCAACGCCACATTTTATTAGTGCAAAAAAAAAAAAAATCAATGTGTTTTCACTTAAACAAGCTGCTGTTTTTCTGTGCATTAAAGTTATATAAAAATTTAACAGTGCAAATGCAAAATCCTTGCTGACAGTTTAACCAAAATGCATTTCCAGTGGAAATTGGCCGACATATCCTCAGCATAGCCTTGTATAATATCCACAAAACTTAAAAAGACGTTATACACACACAATACAGTAATATTATGTTGAAGCGCAGTACATATCACTCCGCGAGGCTCCTGCCTACAATAGCAGTAATGCTCCGACAATCCATCAAGCGGTGCGTGTTCGTAGCTTAGCAAAGTCGTATTGAAACATTTGACAGATTTTCGAGCACCGTGTACGACATAAAATCGTTTCAAGCTCATTAAACACAACCAGAATTCCTACATAAGGCACACGGGATTATAATCTGTCGATTTTCAGAAAAATCAAAGGATTGATTTTAAGTGTGCCGTATTTTCCAAACAACACGGTAATAACGACGGCCCGCTAGCATGCGCTACCAAAAATAGTGCTTTGTTGTGTATCTGATGGACGAAAGCTAAACCAGTTCCACACCACTGAAGTTGCAGCATTTTTACAAACTAATTCTGGTTCATTCGTTTCATTCAATGATCCGCTTTCGCCCTTCTCATTCTCATTTCTTCTCATTCCGCTGCCATACTTTTTCCGCCATGTGCGTATGAAAACAAAGGCACTACGCATGCACGTTTTACCCATATTCTATCGCGATATTTCATTTTCTTATCATTGCCCAACATTATACCGGTATTACCGTGAACGGTATGATATGGCCCAGCCCTACTGTACAGTACAGAATGCATTCAGCTTGTCAAATTTACATAATTCTTCGATTACTAGCAGTGTGACTCTGAAGTGCTGTACTGTATGTTTGCACGTTTTCTCCCCAACAAACACAACAATGTTGACGAAATGTTTTGCACCATCAGGTCTGAACTTTGAAAGTGTTTAAATAAGAAAGAAAAGTGTGAAAATGTTCATGCCTGTCTGAGAAATGTGTATAAAGTGTGTAGTGAGCAGTTTTACAGCCTTAAAACATCTATAATAATTGTAAAAAATAAAGCTGGCTATTTTGCGGATTTCACTTATCGCGGGTTATTTTTAAGAACGTAACTCCCGCAATAAACGAGGGACCACTGTGCATAAACATCGCCAATGATCTGCTGAGTCAGCTACTGCAGAGCTAGAAATTCCTATGGATATAACATCAGCACAGAAACTGTGCAGTGGAAGCTTCATGGAATGGGTTTCTATGGCAGGGCAATTGCACGCAAGCATTACATCACAAAGCACAACACCAAATAGTGGCTATTATAGCTACAAAGAGGGTCCCAGTGCCTTTGTCCATATAGTGTACATTTGTGTAAATACAATTTCAAGGCCTCTGGCTATATTTTGATGATGATTCAGCCTTTTTAAATTTATGTTGATTCTGAAAATCGTGTCTACACTAAAAAATTCCAGTGTAGATTCTCATATTACACAATTAGATCATGAAGTTTATGTTGGTTCTGTAGATATTCCTCCCACTGGAGAAGCAGCCATTAACCATGGTGACACTAAACCAATAAGAATCCCTCCACAACATTTGAGATCACTGGAGTGAGTCAGAAATGTACAGGTCACTACAAGCTGGCTAGCGTGTTGCCAAATCTGTTTTTAAAAAGAACTCTTTTACTTGTGACTTCACTGTTTTCAATCAACAAGCTGTCCTCAGTCTCATTTTTTTTTCTAGAGCAGCAAACACTCCTGTCAAAACACAGCGGCCTTGTAAAATCCCACCTAAAGGGTACTGAGCACAAAGAGGATAATAGCAAACAGCAGGAGATTATGTTCTCTGTCCACACCTCTGCTAACTTACTGAGCATTATGTAACAAGACAAATAACCGGATGTCCGTGTGTGACATAAATAGCCAGCACAGACATAGTTTATCACTGTGGATAAAACACAGCCTATGTGTCCACATACACAGCATTTCCACTTCCATTTGCGGAGTGTTTGGTAGAAAGCCAGGCCTCTACGAACTGAACAGCTTCCCATTGTTTAACAACAGCCGAGTGCTCTCTGTTCAGAATTCCTGGGAAGCCACTTCACTAGAAAGCTGCTCTCTGCTCACCGAGGCTCTCTGTGAATGTGTTATGCAACCCATTTCATTTAAAGCCAAAACAACTCAGTAAGTATGCAACTATTAGTATTTTACATTACACTAGGCTCAAAGTCTCCTGTGACCATTAAAAGCATCCTGATCTCTGGTAATAGTTCCCCAGTTATTATGATGTTCCTCAATTTTTATTCCCACAAAACAGTTCAACAGCATCTGAAAATCTGGCTAGTAGAAGGCACCAGATGTCATAGCAGTAGAGTTGCAAAACACAACCAAAGGCACGAATTAATGTCATTTAATGACTGTGTTTTCAAACCTGAATCAGGTCTTCCACAGCTTTACAAACATGCATGCTGATTTATTGAAATAAATATTCAAAATCCTACCTGGTTCTGAGGCTGACTGCAGCACCGAAGCAGTGAGGATGTGAAGCACAAAGAGGAGCATGGTGAGAGTGGGAGCCATGGTGTGGAGCTGTGGAGGAGACATGTGGGTAATGTTAAGTTTCTCAGGGCAGTCCACCCAGCTGAACCACACAGCTGACGAAGGCCCAGCCCACTACCACCATTAAACCAGTACGCTCCCACCGGGGCGTAACTAGATCTAAACCTCTGCTGAGGCACTGTTATTTAAGGCAAAGAATTTTTTTTCCTGGTTTACTAAAATATTCTATACCAGCTTCCCATGCTGAACGAATGTTACTACTTCGACGACTGCCACACTGCTGCAGGTGCTATACATTAGTAACAATCTCTGTATGTTTATAGTTTCAGCTTGCTTGTAAGAAAATTGGATTAACTTTATTAAACTTTTGCACATTTGCATTCTTTTGCATTTTTTCTGCACAATAACTGATAAATAAAAAAATCCATGACTTGAGTAAAGATTCTAAAATAATATATAACAACCTAGTGCTTAATGCATGTAGAAGACCAGCTGTACTGAAAACAAGAAAACACAAATATTATTTATCTCAGAAATCTCTGTCCTCCCCCTCTCTGTCTTCCTCTCTCCTTCTCTGTGCAAAGGTAACAGTGAAACAGAATTTATAACAATAAAGTCATACCGATATCCTAAATCAATACGGGCTGCTGCTGGCCATGGACAGGTAACATTCTTTTCACTTGTTCATACCTGGATCTGTAACTGTCCTATACTGTAAACAAACACTGAAGGTTAAAATTAGCCAGCCAGTGTTTTTGACGCTATTTAAACAGCAAATATGCTTAAGCAGAAACTTATTAAGTCACTTTAATCACCCTTCATCATCACAACAATTTGCACTTTTGCCTGCTAACGCTTCAGGTAAGACTTGTTTTAAATCTGCACCACTGATTTGTGTCGTTAGATTACCTCTTCATCTTCTTTCTGGGTTAGCATTAGAAGTTAGCATTTTAGCATTATTTTCCAAACTATTATTGCTATTATTTTCAGGGCTACTATGGTTTTGGGAGTGCTTGAGCGCTCTAAAATTCTTTTCTGATTAGTTTTTATTTTTATTTATTTTGACATTTTGCCTTTAATTCAGTTTATTTTCAGTTTGTTTGCTTGTTTCTGTTTAGCAGCTTTAGCTATTTATTAATTCTTATCTAGAACATTAGTAGAGGTGTTACAATAAGAACACAGAAGTTGTTGAAAGCAGTTGACTCACGGTTTTTGATTGGTTGAGTGGTTGCTGGAAGCTAACAAGCATCCGCCAGCCAGTTAGGGAATACACATTTTTCACTAGCAACCAGTGGTTGCCGGGGGCTCGCTGTATGACTGAGGCCTTTGTTAAATACACGGCTCAATTCCCCCAAAATGGATTAAGCCTCATCCTAGACTAAACCTTTTTTCAATAATAGAGTTGTCACAGATTTTTTTTTTCCTTTTAGGTTTAATCCGTGTTTGGGAAACTGGCTAGTAAAATTCTTTATAGTTAAGCTTTCAGTTTAAGAGTGAGTGACATTTTCAGATTTGTCCATCCACATGTCTAAGAAATTTCTGAGCTAACAAGCTAGCCCAGTGTCCATTTTAAGCTAGTTGCATGTTGCTTGTTTTTCCAGACACCACTACGTGCTACATCTTTTGCACTATCACAATTTAATGGATGCATTTCTTGTTACCTACATTAAACTCAAGAAAAGAATAAATGACTAAGTCTCATTCATCCACACTTCAAATCACTTTATTATATGAAGCTCAGAGTGCACAAAGAAGCAGCAGCAGAAGCAGAAACTGCAGCTTCTTAACGCAACGAAATGATGAAGCAGTAAGACAGTTACACTCACTGGCATCTTAATTAGGTACACCTTGCTAGTGGTGACTTGGACCCCCTTTTTTCCTTTGAAAAACTGCCTTAATTCTTCACTGTATAGGTTAAACATGGTGCAAACATGGTGATAACATCGTGCAGTTGCTGCAGATTTCTTGGTTGAGTGGGAAAATCCCTTCAGATCAGCAGTTCCTGAAATACTCAGACCAACCCGTCTGGCACCAACAACGATGCCATGTTCAAAGTTACTTCAGTCACCTTTTCCCCCCATTTCAATGCCCAGTCTGAACTTCAGCAGGTCATCTTGACCATGTTTACATGTCTAAATGCAGGCTTAGCAGATATGCATTAAAAAGCAGCGGAGCAGGTATACCTAACAAAGTGGCCAGTGAGTGCATATCCATAGCAGTATTTTAGCAGCTGTTCAAAACTGCAACCTGTTTAATGACATGTTTTTGTTATCTTTTTTTGCTACACAAAGATGGGGATGAATGAGACAACACCAGTTATTCGAAAGCAGCAAGGACAAGCAGGTTAAGAAATGTGTTTTATTCATTATGCTTCTTGGTATTCACAAACAATCCATCTTTCTTGGAAAGGCATATTTCGAAATACTAAACAGATTTCTTCTGAACGTGACACCCAGCCAGTGGTGCTGGAGTCCTGCCAGCTCTTGTGAAATCCAACCTTACTACTTCTCTGGGCTTTGCGTAGCTCTTGTTTGCTGACATCAGTTGCAATTTTTTCGGTGCCAAATTAATCTACCCAGAACTCACTTCTGTGAGCTTAGATTAGAGGTGTTAATGAGGGATGATAATAAAGGTCTTTTTGTATAAATATTTCTCACAAACACTTATTATAACATTTAAAAACTTAGCACTGCTCAGACTGTTGGAGCTTATAAATTTGTGCCAAGGAATTTTCAAAAGTTAAAGAAAACGCAAAACCACATATATGTTAGGATGAAGGCGGTATTTGTTGTAGGCCTTGTGAATGACGCTGCACCACATACAACTCAGAAAACACTTTCAGTGGTTTCAAAACGTTTATCTTTTAATAATTTAACTCTTTCACAAATAAAGATCTTCTATGCATAATGATGAGTTTTCACACCTCAGATCAGGGATGTCAAACTCATTTTACACCGTGGGCTACATACTGCTTAAGTGGACCGGACCAGTGAAAGTCCTCCACATTTAATCCCTGACATACAGTGGGGCAAAAAAGTATTTAGTCAGCCACCGATTGTGCAAGTTCCCCCACTTAAAATGATGACAGAGGTCAGTAATTTGCACCAGAGGTAC